CTAGCCCTTTCCAATACCTCTGCATAGATCGTACTAAGGCTCTTTTTCAAATCCCTGTACAGTTCCCCGGTCTGGAGGGCATCAGTAAATAAGAGGATTGCTGTCTCATCCGTCATGCCCGTCACCTTCAGGGTTTTGCTTCTCCATCTAGTCAGGAAACCATTGACGGATTCCTTCAGTCCCTGCCTTACACTGGTCAGGTACCCGAAGTGTAACCTGGGGGTGGTGCTGGAGGCGAACTGAGCTAGAAATAATGTGGACAGCTCGACAAAGCTCCCGATCGATCCCGGCTGCAACGTACCGAACCATTCTTGTGCTAGCCCCCGAAGAGTGCTAAAGAATAGCTTGCAAATTGCAGCATCCGTGGCTCCCAAGAGCATAGGGCCACCTTGGTAGCTTCTCAAATGTACGTGGGAATCTCCCACCCCATCGTATGTGAGGCCGTTCGGGGGTCGGCAGTCCCTCAATATTTCTGCATTCATAATCTCCCTGGTGAAGGGAGAAGTAATCCCAACTCGAGTTGGTGGGGCCTGTTGGGGTGTGTGGCTAACCTGCTCTCTGAGTTCGGCCATCTGCCTCCTCATTTCAGCCATTTCTCCTTCATGGACTGTTCGGGGAGGTGGAGTCCCCAGTTCAATGAATTCCGGGGTGTGTGCTGGTGGAGGTGCCGCTGTCTGTCTCCTCCGGTGGATGAACCTTTGCTCACCCCGCTCCATATATTGAAAATGTTGTCCCATTGGGTCTATCGTGGGAGTAGGTTCTCTGACGTGAACCCCGCCTCTAGGCCTGATCGGGGTTTGGTCCCTCGGGGTGTACTGCCTATGCCGGGGGTGTGGGCTCTCCAATGATTTCCTCGATATGCCTGAGAGTGGGCTGAGGCGGTAGTTGTTTGGGTATCATCCGCCCCTTCATCTAGTGATGGCATGGAGCGGACGGGGGACAGTGGGTCGGAGGTGTTGTCGGTGGAGATGGACCCTCCCCTCTCTTGTTCGTCCGCCATGCGCTGCATGGCCACTGCCATTTCCCTCATCAGCTGAGGGTTTCTCCTTATATCATGCGGGATGATGTTTTCAAATTCCTGCGTGGCACTACCCCTGACATGCCCCTACATAGACCAACCCTCGGAGGATCCATTGCCTCTTCGGCCCCTGGTAGCAGAGCTTGGTGTAGATGAAGTGATTCTAGCCATCTTGAAGAAGGTGGTGCTTAGATCAAAGGTTTTGCTTGGGATTTTTCTTCAGTTTCCCACAGACGGCGCCAATGTTGAGGTTTTATCCCGTAGATTCGAAAGCCCAACACACGCTTTGGATATTAAGGACGTTTGGTTCTGGTTCAGAAAATGTATAAAATATAAAATAGTGAATTAAGAAGGTACTCAGAAGCTAAATTGTATTAAGTAATTCGGTGATTACAATTGAACTGCCCGAACGGTACATCGGTACGAGTTTGAATACAATACAAGAGAAATGATTCTATTGCTAAGCTCTGAGTCTGAAGATGCCAACCCTTTACAATGTATTAAGCCCATGTATTTATACTAGAGTGAGGATGGGTGAGATGGACACGTGGCTGAATCCGGTAAGCTGTAACCTCTGCCACGAATGCACCCATGCCCCCACTTGCTCTTGCCATGCTTTGGCATTAAATGCGGCTTCCACTTGCTGACTACCCATCCGGGGATGTGTACAACAAGAAATTCACGAAGGTATCTGTTCGAGTCATCAAGGGCCAAAAACCTTGGCCAGAAAAAATCATCATGCAGGGATACTATTGGCCGACCATACAGTAGGACTGTTTCGCCCATACGAGAAAGTGCAAAGTATGTCAGCTATATGCACCAGTTCCCGGACGGCCTGCGACTTTCTACACTCCAATGACGATTGCATTGCCATTTGCTAGGTGGGGGATCGACTTGCTAGGCCCCTACCTACAGCCTGGGGAGGAAGGAAGTGCGTGATTGTGGGGATTGATTAATTCACCAAATGGATGGAGGCCGAACCACTGGCCAACATCACCGACTTCCAATGCTAGAGGTTTCTTTGGCAGAATATTATCTGCAGATTCGGCCTCCCCGAACAGGTGGTAACTGACAACGGAAGGCAGTTCGTAAGCAGGAACTTTGAAGACTTCCTCATCAAGTGGGGAATCAAACATTCCAGAGCCTCTGTGGCTTATCCTCAGGCGAACAGTCAAGTGGAGAATATGAATAGAACCATCATGGATGCCATAAAAAAGAAACTAGAAGATTACTCCTCCACCTGGCCCGATCAGCTGAATTACATTATCTTGACATATCAAACAACACCCCGAACAGCTACAGGGGAGATGCCGTTCGCCCTCGCCTACGGTTTTCAGGCCAAAGTGCCAACTGAGGTCTTAGTCCCGACTCATCGAGCGATCCACTACAATCCGGAGAGAAACGAAGATAACTTGCGTGCCGAACTTCACTTTATAGAAGAAAAGAGGGATTTGGCAGCCCTTCAGATGGAGGAATATCATCGAGCAACACGAAGATACTTTGACAAACAGGTCAAGATACGTTCAATCCTTGTAGGCGACTTGGTCCTAAAGAAAATGGAGAAAAGCAAACCGCTGGAGGGCGGAAAAATGGCAAAAAATTGGGAAGGCCCTTACCAAGTCTGCAAGAAGTACGCAGAAGGAACATTCAGCCTTCAGGATACCGAAGGCCGATCGGCAGGGACATGGAATGTCGAACACTTGCGAAAGTTCTACCAATAAAAACGGCTATTGCCACCTCTTGACAAAAAAAACTATATGTACAAAGATACATAAAGAGGGAGAAATAACTTCCAAAAGAGCCAAAAAGTTGGATAACCGGGTCGAAATGACCGAACGACAATATCACAACAAAGGCCAAAAATTTAAAAGAGCCAAAAAGTTGGATAACCGGGTCGAAATACATTGTAAAGGGTTGGCATCTTCAGACTCAGAGCTTAGCAATAGAATCATCTCTCTTGTATTGTATTTAAACTCGTACTGACGTACCGTTCAGGCAGTTCAATTGTAATCACCGAATTACTTAATACAATTTAGCTTCTGAGTACTTCTTAATTCACTATTTTATATTTTATACACTTTTTGAACCAGAACCAGACGTCCTTAATATCGAAAGCGTATGTTGGGCTTTCGGATCTACGGGATAAAACCTCAACAGATCTCAAATGAGTTTTATATTAAACTCAAATGAGTATACACATAAAAGAAATGAACATACACAACTGAATATTAAACACATTAAAAATGAGTTTTATATTAAACTCAGATGAGTATACGTCTCAAAGAAATGAACATACACAACTCAATATTAAACACATTAAAAATGAGTTTTATGTTAAACTTAAATGAGTATAACGTCTAAAATCAATGAGCATACACAAATGAGATTTTGAATTTTTTATACTCATTTTGTAAATTATGTATGCTCATTTGGTATTGCTTTATGCTCATTTTAAAATGATGCACACTTCAAATATAACGCTCAAAATCAATGAGCATACACAAATGAGCTTTTGAATTTTTTTATACTCATTTGGTAAATAATGTATGCTCATTTGGTACTGTTTTATGCTCATTTTAAAATGATGCACATTTCAAATATAACGCCCAAAATCAATGAGCATACACAAATGAAGCTTTGAATTTTTTGACTCATTTTGTAAATGCATGTTCATTTGGTACTGCTTTATGCTCATTTTAAAATGATGCACATATCAAACATATCATACTACATTAGATTCACATATTGAAATTAATTATAAACGTAATTTAAGAATTTTTATAAACGAAAATAATAATAAAAAGAAGCTGAATTAGAAGATATGAAACAAAGATCACTAGTGCTCATTGTTATGTTCCCAATACTCAGAAGAACAAACTTGATGCTCATCCAAATTACATCGATGCTCATTTAAGACAAACCATGAACTTCATCAAAATTACAAAACTGTCACCGGCTGTACGGTGCCAGCCGTACAGCCGGCTGTATGGTATACGCTTCCACACTTGCTATGCTCTAATAAAATTTATATTTTTTAAATAATTAAATAATAAAAAGTAATAAAATAGTGAGTGAAATTCCTAAATGGGACTAAAATAGAAGATAATTCCCTAAATAGGACTTCCATTTGAAATTATGTTTGATAGGTAAAACTACCAACTTGTACAAATATGCCTTGATGAAGTTTTATTTCAATTTATAATTAAAACTGAAATAAAAAATTGTTGAAACCCTAAAATTTCAAAACTCGCTGAAGGATTGCCGCTGCTATCCCCGCCGCAGCCATTGCCTGAATGGTTGGATGCCGCCCTCGTCGAGATGGTCTGCTACTGCACCTCCACCGGCGCCGCCATAAGCTACTTTCTCGCTGGTGCAACCATATATCTGCTATTAAGTTGGCATATTTAGTCTTGAAAGTAATTTCAAATTTGCCATGAACAAGGTTTTTCATATCAGCCATAAAGTTGAAAGATTTATCATGGAAGCTTAAGACAAAACTGTCATTAATTTGGCAAAAATATGAAATCAATAACCAAATATTCAAAAAAAATGAAAAAAGAAAATTAATGAAATAAGAACTTTCACACAATCAAAAATTTAAAAATATGAAGCTAATGATAAAAAATCAGAATAACCGATTTACGCAAAGCATTTTGGCCATAATACGATTGTGAATCAACACATTCCTACTATAAATTTGGCAAAATCTGAAACCATCATTCAAACATTTGGAAAATAGGATTTTTTTTCAAAAACTCAGAAATCAGAAAAGCAAAACAGAAGTCCAAAAATTGGCAAAATCAATATCAAACCCCATAAAAATAGAAGAATAGGAGGGGAAAAAAAATGTCAAATCTCAGAAAAATAGAGGAGGAGGTGGGGGGGGGGGGGGGGAGTCTATGGCTGCAGATGGTAATTCCAATCACATTCTTGTTCATGTGGTCCATTTCAATAATAATCAAGGAAAAACTCTCTATATTACCTTGAATTGAATGTAGTATAATGAACAACAGAAATCCAAAGGATCTCTAAACTGCCATAAAAATAAAATTTTGTCAATCTTCTGATATATTTTTAGCGGTGGATCCAGACAAAACAAACTGGTCTAAAACCGGTTTAGGCTCCTCCAAAATAAGCCCTCAAACCAGTTAAGGTTTCAATATTTTGAAAGAGGCTAAAACCTGTGAGGAATAGGAGTTATAGGACTAGAATGGGAACAGTTTGAAACAAAAACCGGAGTTGACCTATCTTTTCCAGTCTCCGTTACAGGTAGCCCAAATGTTGGACCAGGAACCAGACCTGTTCGGCTGTTCCATCCCTACTTAACTATCTGTAGTGTGGTGTCTTCAACTGATAATGATGACAGCTCCTCAAAGATCACCCTCATATCAGGCCGTTCATCTGCAGGGAAGATGCAACTAAGAGCAACATGCAGCATGGCATCAAGAACCACATACACACGATCTGCACTCCTCACTCCCACCACAAACGGATCAAAGCACTCGAGTGATCGGTTCAGGGCAGCCAACGATCTCACCCATTCAGTTAAGTCCACCATCCCAGGAACAATGCCAGAAGCGCTTTTACCGGTCAACAGCTCCAACAAGATGACTCCAAAAGCGTACACATCACTCTTTAATGACGGGCAAGGTTTACTCATGCTTGCAAACTCAGGCGGTCGGTAGCCCAGTGCAGCAGCAGTTAGTATCTGCTCAGATGTCCCTGCTGAGGTCATTATCCTGTGGAGGCTATAGTCTGTGAGGACTGTGTTGGCAGTTGATGTTCCAACCAAGACATTTGTGGATTTTAGGTTTCCATGAGGTATGGCGATTTCATGGTGAAGGTAACATAGACACCTGGCAACATCTACAGCAATCTTGAGCCGATCCGTAAGTGACAAGGCATTTTGCGTTCTTGGGTTTTTGTCTGCCCAGTTCAAACATTAAGCATGTTAGAGTTTCACATGAAAAAGTTAATAATAGAATGACAAGTTGAGAAGACATTGCATGGGTCAAATTAGCTAATAGATTATAATTCATAGTCTGTTAGTATGATTTAGCGTAAATATCTTACTACCTAGTTGAGTCATTTCTGTTTAGGACAAGTTTAGTCTTTCACAATAATATAGTCCTAGCATAGTATTTTTAGGACTGAAAATATTATGAGTTGATATAACTAATGCATCGGATTGAATCTATATCGTAAATTCATAAATGAGGGGCTGTATCGCAATCCTAAATTGTATAAAATAAACTACCCTTAAAATGATAATATTAGATCACTACACAAATATATGACTAAAAAGAGGATTAAAAAAACATGATTTTAGATCATAATGCATTTCGTCAGATTCCATCATTTGGTAATATTAGTGTTGCTTAGCCCATGTATTTTATGACCTACTGCAATATCGGATTCCATCAAAATGGTTATTTTTAGGACTGATACATTATTCAAGAATCAACTGAAAGACAAAAAGAAATAAGGTATCAAGGTGGGAGAGTTACGATGAAGGTAGAGAGCCAAACACGGCGAGTCAACATAATTTGATAGGATCAACCGCTCATGATCCTTAGGGCCCCAGTAGTAGCCGATAAAGGATACTATGTTAGGATGCCTAATGTTTCCCAGTTTCTTTACTTCCCTTGCAAAGTCCTTGCTGTTTTTCAGTGTCCCTTCTTTTAACCACTTGACGGCCAACACATGGCCTGATTCAAGCACAGCCTTATATAATGTACCATGACAACTTGTTCCCATAGCTTGTGCAGGAGCACAAGACAAGTCATCTGCACTGAATTTTGAGGCGCAATCAAACAAATGTAATGATCCCGCTATTTTATCAGGGGAAGAAACTTTTAGAGGTTTTGGACTTTTTGATAGATATTGTATCCTCGTAGGTGATATAGAAGAAGAAATCGCTTCACTTTTTCTTGTTTGAGCTGGCAAGCCCCGAACGCTGAGATCACTTGTGGGTCCAGCTGACAATGTCGATCCTGTGGGAACTACAACAAGTCAGCTTTGAAATGCTACTTACTAGAGTCCATTTGACAAGACTGAAAATGACTAAAGTGGCTGAGTCTATACATTGTTGAAGTTGTTGCCAAAATGACTTATTTTACTAAAACTTATTTTTAAATAAATACTAAAATATAGAAGTACTACTCCCTCCGTCCCATTTTACCTGTTCTACTTTCCTTTTTGGGTTGTCCCAAAATAAGTGTCTCCTTTTCTTTTTTGGAAAGACATATGTGGTCTACACCAATTCACTTTATTATACTCAAACTTCAACTATAACTGTTAGTTTTTCAACCACATAAAATGGGACGGAGGTAGTATCTATAAACGAAAATAATGTCTAAAATAGAGCTAAAATTTTGATAAATCATGTTAGACACAGAGAATTGGTGTAGAAAATATTATCGATATATTAGAAAATAAGAAGAATACAAGCCGAGACCAATTCGAGAGGGCCTCAATCTCTCCCAGATCCCAATTTTCCCAAATCCCAGCCTCCTTTTCCTGACTCATCTGTTTGCCTTTTATTTCCTTTCTCCAGCCTGTCCAGCTTCCACATTTATTTAGACCACCCTTTCATTCCCTTCTCCAGCTCAACCTGTTTAGCTTCCACATTTATTTAGGCCATTCCCCCCAAGCTTGATTCCCCCTTTTATTAATAAACCCTCACTTAAATTATTGGGCCTAGAACCCTATTATTGAACAACATTAAAATACCTAAAAAAACTTAATAGACACCAATTATTGGTAGTGCCCAGGTCCTTAACATCACTCACCCCCTGAACTTCCACCTTGTCCTCAAGGTGGGTCGTAAGATACTGCTCTGGCATTTGATTTCAGTGAGTTAACGGCTACATCCAGTTCGGGCTGTTGATCACTTGTTCCCGTTTCTTCTTCTGGCTCTTCCATCAATACAAATTGATAATGTTTCATTCCACAAACATGCTCTTTGCCCCATTTGTTTCCACATTTGAAGCATAGGCCCTTCCTGCTTCTTTCTTCTAAGTCTGCTTGTGTCAACCTTTGGCCTCCCTCCCATTTCTTATTCGGTTTTGGAGATTCCTCCAGCTTGTTCTCCGAAGGTGTTTTCTCAGTAGTTTGCTTGTCCCCTGAAAGTGTTCCCTCAGGAGTTCGGGATTGATTAGGAAGTGTTCTTCCCTTAATTGCTTCCCCCCAGTTCAAATGCCTGAACATAGTCCCTCCCTTCTCCTTTCCATTCCTCTGGTCCCCAACCTGATATTGTTCCCCTCGAAATGCAGCATTCTTCCCTTCTAACACCAGAGAGATATCCATCAGTTCAGGGAGGGCAGCATTTGGGTATAACTTGAGCTCAGCCTTCACTTCTTCCTTCAGGCCATTAAGGTAAATTCCTTTGAGCATTTCCTCGTCAGTATGCTTCATTGGACCTGCCACTCGTTCATAATGTTCTCTATATTCCATCACTGATCCAGTCTGTTTAAGGCTTAGCATAGGCCCAAAAGGATTCTGCACGAGCTCTGGTTGAAATCTCCGTATCAAAGCTCCTTTGAATTTCTCCCATGTTTTCTCCTTGTTTTGTTCCTCCCACCATTGGAACCAGTTCAAAGCCTTTTCCTCCATGGCCAGGACAACCAGCTCCACTTTTTCATGATCGTGCACCAGATTCAACTTGAAAAAACGTTCCACTCTAATAATCCATCCATTAACATCCTCTCCGTTGAATAGAGGAAGATCTACTTTCCTTCCGGTTCTCTCAATTCCTCGCTTAGCATGAGAAATATGTGGTTCGCGAGAATCAACGGCCGCACTATGAGAATCACCTCCAGATTGCGAAGATCCTGTCCGAGAGTGTGCATCGGTTTGCTTAGTCGACCGCGACCTACTCCTGGATTGCCGATGACTCTGGTTGTTCGCGAGACGGCGAAGCTCGGCCATCACCCCATCCAACTTGTCTGCTATCGATCGCACCTCTGTGCTGTTACGTTCCAGTTTCTGCTCGATGTTGCTCACGTTTTGCTCGAGATTCTCTAAGCGATGTTCCATTTTTGATCGCGTCAGTGTCATTCACAGCCCGCAGGACCGTTTGCTCTGATACCAATGTTAGACACAGAGAATTGGTGTAGAAAATATTATCGATATATTAGAAAATAAGAAGAATACAAGCCGAGACCAATTCGAGAGGGCCTCAATCTCTCCCAGATCCCAATTTTCCCAAATCCCAGCCTCCTTTTCCTGACTCATCTGTTTGCCTTTTATTTCCTTTCTCCAGCCTGTCCAGCTTCCACATTTATTTAGACCACCCTTTCATTCCCTTCTCCAGCTCAACCTGTTTAGCTTCCACATTTATTTAGGCCATTCCCCCCAAGCTTGATTCCCCCTTTTATTAATAAACCCTCACTTAAATTATTGGGCCTAGAACCCTATTATTGAACAACATTAAAATACCTAAAAAAACTTAATAGACACCAATTATTGGTAGTGCCCAGGTCCTTAACAAATCAGCCCAAAGGTAACTCATGCACTAGTTTTTTTTCACTATCAGCCCATAAGCCAACTATTGTTTTGTGACAAAGCCGACCAAAGAGGCTCTTAATCAGAAAAAAATTCTTTTTCTTCACCCCTTCCTTTGCTGGGAGCTGTATACCTTTAGCGCAGTTCTCCATCCCACCATCTACTTGATGGGTTTTGCAAATGACCATGTACATCAGCAAAGCAACTATAGAGGAGGTGCCAACTAGACCTGCAACAAGAGCTGCTATGACTGCAAATTTCAAGCGCGGACCCCGTCTTGCTGAGCTCAGATATGAAGTACCATTCACTTTAACTTCTTCATGTGGGAACACAAGTAAGGAATTTCCCGGATGAAATGCCGAGTTAGGAAACCTCAATAGATTTTGGGGAACAGGTCCAGAGAAATTGTTACAAGAAACATTAATATATTTCAATGTGTCAGAAAGGTTTGTAGGAATGTCACCATCAAAATTGTTGTTAGAAAGGTCGAGACTTTCTAAGTTCCTAAACCGAATTAAGTCGGGAGATAAATGCCCAGAAAGTGCATTTTTAGACAAATCAAGTGTTATAAGGGCCGGGTTCTGAAGGGTCATTGCTTCCATAGGTATTGTACCTTTAAAAGTGTTGGAAGACAAGTGTATATAACTCAATCTTGTGGAATTAAAGAGGCAGGGAAGGAGGAAACCGTTTAAAAGGTTTATGCTTAAGTCAATAACTTTTAGTTCTAGGTATGTACATAAACTGGATGGTAGTAGACCGTCTAACGAGTTGTTAGAGATTTTTAGTGAAGAAAGCCTCAAGAACTGAGAGGTTTCGTTTGGCAAGGATCCAACTAAAAGGTTGGAACTCAGTATAATAACTTCAATATTATTTCCCCAACTTTGGATTTTGGACACATTTCCAGAAAACATATTATTGCTCAAATCTAAAACTTCACAATGCCCTACGCTGCCAGGCAATTGGCCCGAAAGCTTGTTGGAAGACAAATTAAGAAACTTGAGATTTTCAGCATTGATGTTTCCTAATGAGCCTGTCAAGAGAAAAATAAAGTCTTAATGCAGGTCAATTCCAAAAGAAAAAGGTGACAAATGGAAGTATAACACCTAGGAAGGGATTTTTATTGCAAACGTTATAAGCACATAGCACATTGTCTCATTAAATACTGTGATCTGATAAAAATCAGAATTGAGTTGGGTTGGCTCAACTTTGCTATGAGGCAATTGGGTCAAAACGCACTAAATGATTGAATTGAATTTGTTAGCAAGTTTGACCCAAAGTCTTATTAACTAACCATTCTCTCTTTAATTTTCTTATTATAAGGGACTGTAACACTTCCCGGAATCATGTATGTCAAACTTAGAAGAAAATAATAAGCATGAATTGGAATGGGGTAGATGAAGGAGTAGGGATTTTGAGTACCCCTCCTAGTAAAGTTAAAAGTCATTACTATTACTCAAGAGATCAATTAAAGAAATTAGGTATAAGAAATGTAATTAATTGAAATATTTTCACAATAGCACATAAACACAAGTACACAACATGTCCAATAGTATAGGAAATCAATACCTGCTCCATTCTCCAACATCACATTTAAGGTTGTTATACACATGCAAAGTAACAACAACTTTTCCTAAAATCAATTCAAATATGCAATAATATGATGCCCTCATTTATGCAATAAAACATACAAAGTACTTTCAACCATTTCTACATTATTAAGACAATTGTGGAAAATGAGAAATTGATGTCTTCTTGATATTCGAAACTTAATTTGGGAAAAAGATAGATAATTTTTTAGAGGGGCAATTTCTAAGGAAAGGAGGGGGGATTTTTAGTCTTTGCTATTCACTTTCCTCTAAGCAAAATTAGGCCAACTGACAAAATCAAATTACAAAGTATCTGAGTTCAATACACTTACCTTCAAGCTCATTATGGCTTACATCCAACTCAAACAAGATCATTGAACTCTGTTGCAGAAGACCTTGCGGTGGTGATCCCGAAAGCTTATTGTTTCCAAGTCTAAGAATTTGAAGAGAGGCTACAAAGTTAAAGGACGGGAGCTTGCCCACAAACATATTATAACTTGCATCAAAAACCTCTAAGCTGTCGAAGGATGGCATCCCACCGTGAGGGAAGAGCTCCCCACTCATGTTGTTGTGGCTAATATTAAGATACTTCACCTTAGACACAAAGCTGGAATACCCTTTCCTGGTTTCTAAGTCTAATGATCCAAACAGCTTGTTTCCACTTATGTCTACAAAAAGGATACCACCCAATTGAGCAAACAGGCCCGTCACATTACCCAAAAGTGCATTTGAATGCAAATCCAAATAACTCAACTGTTCAAGACTACCAACCCCATAAGGAATCTCACCTTCCATGTCATTCATGGACAAGTTGAGTGATACAAGGTTCTTTAAACCAGTTAATTCCAAGGGTATTGACCCGCTAAACATATTGTGAGAAAGATCCAAATTTTCTAATGATTCAATAAAACCAACATCCAGTGTGACATTACCTCTCAATTGATTGTTAGCTACTGATAGATTTCGCAGCATCTTGAGACTGCTAATGGCTGGAAAATCCAACTTTCCAATTAAACCAACACCATTAAGTACTATTGAAGTAACATGACCCTCACTACAGGTGATCCCATACCAGTTCCGGGGACATCCATCTGCTTCCAAAGACTTGGAATCCCAAGAATTAAGGACTTTTCCTGAATGGTCTTCCTTAAACCCTTTCTTGACCTCTAAAAGGGTTTCTAAATCTGATCTCCCAATAACCAATTCAACTACAAACAGTAATAATATCAAACAGACAGTACAATGTGCCTGCATTCCCTAAGCTGTTCTTCCAATTAAACCAGCGGGAAAAATAAGAATTGGATGAACTGGGTTTTAGAATTCAACAAAAATATTCCATTACTTCGAAAAATAGTGATAACTAAATAGAAATTACAATTTTCCAATGAAAGAAGGCCCCATTACTTGAAAAGGTAAGACATTTAATTGCATTTGGAGCATTATGGCAAAGCACGGATAGCATTGGCCAAACCTTGTCAGTATAAAGCCTAAATCAAAGCAAATAATGCATATCAAGAAATTGTCAATCCCCCCAATAATGAAGCATACTGTCATAAGAAGTGAAGAAAAGGACAGGGGTAAGGATGGGCGCAGTTGATAGACTGGGGGTGGCTCTTGGGGAGGGAGAGCCAAATTTGATCAGAGAGAAGGGTGGGTGGGGTCTTAACTGCATTTTGTGTTTGAGGTTTTGTCATTTCTGAATAAACAATGTACAAAGTGAGGAAATGTTTGCTATGTCTTTAGTGTGGAGAGAGCAGAAAGGGATGTTTCAGGGTAGAGCAGTTAAAGTTGTACCTTTGCACTTCCTCTTTCCATCTGTTTCCATGGAACTATGGAAGAATGAAGAATCGCTCGGGTGGACTTCAAATCCAATGAAAACTTCACTTTTGTGGGCTTTAAGATAATATTACTATGGGCTTCTTAGCTTGTCTCCATGAATCGGACTTGACAAAAGTGTTAGTTCATTATGTGATATATATGGGGAATAAAGAATACACTATCTGAAATTGTCATATAACAACACCATTAAACTTCAACCTCAAAAGATTTGGGAGTGGACTAACATGAATCAATACATGGTATCATCAAAAAAAAAGATAACGAAGTTAACAAGGTAAGCTGTAACAAAATATAAAAAGAGATGGATATACATAAAAATGATATAGTAAAAAGTGTGTGTGTATATATATATATAGAGAGAGAGATCACGAGAAGTCCTAATTAGGCTGGAAAGTGAGAAGTGGTTACCGCTGTCCAATCAACTCCTCCGAACTGTCCGATTACTTCAATATAGCCGTATCATTAATGGCATTTTTTGTAAAATTCGTCAACTCTATCGTTTTGGTAAATGGCGTGTTTGCCATCTCTGTCCGTCTCTCCCAATTGTCTCTTTCAATTCGGCAGTTACATGGCTGAGCGATGGAGGTTATTCCAGCATCGTACAAGAGCGATTTAGTGACGATGAATGTCCATCGAAGAAAGATCGAAGGTCCACAATCTAAATATCTAAACTCTTCCCTCATCTGCTCCAATATATGCACTATGATTGAATTTTACCTCAAATTTTATTTTGACTTTGTGAATCCTAAATTATGATATAATTAATTGTTTAGAACAATTATTTTTAGGATGATTAGTTAAATATATCTGCAACTATTATCTAACTCTCAAATTTATCTCGTACTTTCACTTTTGTTAAAAAAACACTCAAACTTCAACTTTTCTCACAATTACATTTTCAATGGATGAATTAGTAAAACTTAAGAATAAAATCATAATTATATTTCGTATTTTTTCACTACTTTCTATCTTTAAGGACACAAACTTAATTATATTGTATATATCTTATTGGTATTGATAAAACTGTGTAGTTTCGGAAAACAAAAAAGAAAAGCATAATTGTTAAAAAAGATGAAGTTTGAGTCTTTTTTTATAAAAGTGAAAGAATAGGGAAAAATTGTGAATTTGATGATAGGTTAGAAATTAAATAGGACAATAATACTATTTTTTATGATTTTTGTCTTATTGATCATGTAAGAATCGTGTAAAGTAATTTTGATATGTGTACTTATACTATTTGTGCTAACTCTTTGTTGAAATAGATATTGAGTTCATGTTTTACCCGTAATTTGTAAGTTTATGAGTTTAGATTATGCCTGCAAATTGTCCGATGAAATGTTTTATTGATAATTGGTGTTATGTACTTCATTCGTGAATAATCAAACACAAATGGATCTACGTCCAGACTTTGAAATAATATTTTGAATGGCACTTCTGGATGAGGTTTTAGTTATGTAGATTAGATTGAAATTAATATGATTTTGTAGTTGTAGCTATACTTCATATTTTGGGACTAATACTTGGATGTTCTTGTAGTTATACTTTATAATTTGATACCTCTTTCATGTACTACTGAATTATTCATGATTTAAAACAAAGTTATGAAAATAGGATGTATTTCCAGATACCACTATACTCCCCCGTATCAAATTAATTGACCCGTATGCTTTTTCACGTAGTTTAAGGAAAATATATGTAAAGTAGGAACTTTTTGGTACTGTAGCGGTACTGTAGCAGTACTGTACGTAGCGGTACTGTAGTTGCTTTTTGGGTGGGTTTATTTCCAAAAAGGGAAATGAGACATTTATTTTGATACGTCCTAAAAGGGAAAGCGGGTCAATTAATTTGATACGGAGGGAGTATTACACAACTTCAGGTTCTCTGCCAGTTTTTTTGTAGCTCATATTGTCCAGGTATCTTTTTTTTACTTTCAAATTAGACCTCATACGAGTTTTCAGTAAAAGTTATGTCTTTTGAGTTAATAGTTATAATAATTTGAGTAAAAATTGTGTGTTGACAGAGAACATAACCTTGAGTTGCAATCACTAATTTTAAAGATATTATGTCCTTTACTTGGATTGATATAAAAAATCAAAACAATTGATTTAGGAACTCAAAACAAGAGCCTTCAAATTGGATGGTACTAGGGATGCTTTATTTTGGTAGAAAATAACCTGGGTAGAGAATTCGGCAGCATTTCAGTATAGTGAGAATAGTTTAGGAGAATACAAAGGGTTGGTGGCCTATTTATAGGCGTATACAACAGGTCCACCAATTAAATGCTACATGGGCTTGGCCCGATCTATCAACTAATACTAAAATTAATGGGCCAACTGGGCCAGCTAATAAGCAAATAATCCCAAACCGATTTCTGCCAGCGGGCTGTGTTATGAGCTTAGCTTGATTGGGCCAAACCTCGGGTATAACGGGCCGACAGTCTTGGACTTGGCCCATTACCCCAACACGGGTCCCCCACTCCCTTAGTCGAGTAGTAGACTCAGCTAAAAGGGAGTAGTTGAGCTGTCTTGTAATCGGCCCAGTTGTTGGTCCGGACGGCTGGTCATTGACGAGCCTTGAATTTTATCACATTGCTTGTGAAAGGATGGACTCTTCCTTGATTCGACCGGGAGACCTCGTCCTTTGTTCACGATGATAAGGTGCCTTGTTAAAACCTTACTAGGAAAAACCCAGTGGGAAAAAAATCCTAGTGAAGGAAGAAAAATGCACAGCCCTCGAAGCGGGTGTAGGGAGAAAGTGCACATTCTACCGAACTGAGAGGCGATCAGAAGAGGATGACCTGGACCAGTCTTCAAATAAGCAACGGTCGCCTTCCATGAAGAGGATGACTGCGACCGGTCTTCTCAAGTGCCAAATGCGCCAAGGTGCGGCCTCGGCAGGAGTGAGCTCGGTCTCGTCTGGTATGAGCTCGGCATCGTCTTGTATGAGCTCAGCGTCCTCTTGTATGAGCTCAGCCTTAACATGAATGATTGAGTGCCTGCTTTACTGGTAAGTCGAGATATGTTCCGAAAAGACCAGTCACACGATTGTTTGCCAGTGGTGTCGGTCGAGCGAAGGTATTGTTGGAGAAGGCTGGTCGCAGTTGTATGCTAGCGATGGAGATCCGAGGTATGCTTGGGAGAGGCTAGTCACATAGATGTTCGCCGGTGTTGGCAAACTGGGGTATGCTCGGGAGATGTTGGCCGCCTAGCTGTCCACTGACGATGGACAACCGAGCTATGATCTAGAAAGGTCGGATGCAATATTGTACACATTGATCCCCATTGCTTGCAAAAGGATAGGGTTTCCTTCGTCTGGGTAGCAGCCCGGTGTCTTGCTTATCCTATTAGCAGCCCAGGGTCTTGTTCTTCCGGTTAGCAGCCCGGGGTCTTGTCTGTCCAATTAGCAGCCTGAGGTCTTGTTTAAAATCAAGCAGAAGGATGAGCCTCTGGCCACCACGTGCAGCTGCAACGGTCGCCATCTGCTGAGGGGATGGCAAAAAACGGTCTTCACTTGTGAGCAATGCTCGTCTGACGTTCCTGGGAGGATGCGGTGAGTAGTCCACCATATTCATCCTTATGAGTGAGAGATCCGAGCTCGGAGCTGGGGTTGGCTCTCGCCCGTCGATGAGTCCATATGTAATTCGTGCACTGTCATGCGTGTGCAACCTCGACCAGGAGATAACCCTGGACGAATTTGACTAGGAGATGGCTGATGTGAGTTTTCTCGCCTTAAAAAGATGGTAATATAGTGGTGAAAGTACGAGTATCGTCTCCACTGGGACGGACAAAAGTGAATCAAGAATTAATTAAATTCAGCGATAAAAAATAAATAAAATAAATGCGTTGTGCGAGATATGATTGGTATGAAAAATTAAAATGCAACTAAACGATTAAAATAAATGCTTGGTTTCTTTCTAATTAACGACGAAGGGAACATGGATTGATTCTGGGGTAACCAGATTTCTGGTAGAACAGACCTAATTACATGAAATTTAATTTAATTGAGTCTAGCTAATCATTACTAAGTTCTTACCGCTCTCACGGCATAGAGTACAATAATTTAAGAGACCAGACTGATCTCTCATGCGACAGGATCCTAAATTATTGGCAAGACGAGCGAGCTTACGGCTCCTTAATCGCTACTAATCTCTTAGCAAACGATTAAGTGTGTGTGAATGTGTCCTAGAATAAATTAGATCTCTCTTAACTTATTCTACGTACAAGCAATTGTAATTCTAGTGCGCGTTCTAGGTTACAAAAGATATCAATTAAATTATTCAGACACAAATTAAACGGCATTCATGCAATTAAACCGGCAAGAATCGATCCATACATCATGATTAACCCCTTCATCAACCCCAAATCCCTAATTAAACTACTCACAATTAATAATTGAAGAATCAACAAAATTGGGATGAATAGAATAAATTGTCATTAATTAAAAAGATAGAACTTACAAAGAATCTCTTAATCTTGAAGAACAAGTCTTGAAAAGCTCTCAAAAATCGAAATAGGGTTTATCTCTCTAAGCTCATCAGTCAAAAACAGGCAAAACAGGGCCCTATTTATAGATAAACTCAAAATCTGGCCGAAAAACCGAACGCACGGTGGACCGCACGCCGTGCGAGTCACCGTGCGGGTTTAGGCGCGCGTTTCCGTCTCCGTGTTTCGCTCCGCCCGCGCGGTGTGCGGGCGCCGCACTATGCAACCGTGCGGGTACTTCTGGGGGCTATTTCTGGACCGTGCGGTGTGCGGTTTCGGCCGAGCGGTGTGCTGTTTCGGCCGCGCGATGTGCGGTTTCGGCCGCGCGGTGTGCGGTTTCGGCCCCTCAACTGTTTGCTCTCAGAATCGCCCGCGGGGCGTGCGGAACCGCATCGCGGGGCGCACGGAATGCTCTTGGACCGTTTTCTTGCCATTTTCTTCACGGTTTGTTCCCGGATGCTTCTTTAATCGATCCAAAGGCCGTTTCTTCATCAAATCTTCGTCATGAACCTCCCGGCGGCCTCCAAAACTCTCAAACCTCTCTCAAATGTTCTCCAACTCTTCCTGATTGCTTCTCAAGCGCCAGTGCCGGACTCTAAATTCATGATTTTGACATCAAACAACACAAAACTCGAACCAACGTCTGGTAAACATAACTTGAGCTAAACTTGAGACTTGTAACACCTTAAAGCTAAGAAAACCATCAAAAACCGATCCCAACACGCATCAAATGCGTGTCTAAATACGGACTTATCAATAGCCTTGCACGAACTTGGCTTGGGGGTAGTCCTGCACAAACTTGGACTGAGATGAGCGTGCGTGACTTGGCATGGATGACGAGGTGATGATCAGTGGCCTCGTCATGACCACACATTTAGTTTGAATTTTGAAGCCCATGAAATAAGAGCTTGAACCAACACCGGGTAGTCTAGGCTCATAAGTGGACAAAGAAAACATAGGATGCCATGAAGGTACACAGCTTCCCACGGAGCAAATGATCGGAGCCTGCCCGAGCGTGGTTGTGACCAAGGATATGAAAGTTCCATTCAGGCCTAAATCAAAGTGACACCAGTTGAACGCATCGTCCCGGGATGCAAAGCATAAGGTAGTTGAAGTGTTAGCCTTCCTGGTGATTTCGGAGTTTTCAAGCTCTAGGCTCGACACCTGGAGCAAGGCACCCTACAGTTTTCGGAGCTTGTCACTTCTAGGATCGAGGACCGGCGTCCGGAGTATACCCGAGCTTAGTTGCGGACCAAGGAGGGTTGCAGTTGGCACAAAACTGGAGGTCATGTTCTCTTTTAGATGTGTCTAGCATGATATGCAGACTACCCGTTATGAGGCAAAGAAGTCGGGCAATGATGATCTCGGAGTTGTTCTTTGTGATTAATTTTTCGTTTGAACTTGTATGTATGCACCGTTCGTTCTTTCAATTTACTTAGTCGTTTTTCATTCAAGAATACTTGAAGAACTAATCGGGGATCTGGCTCCCCACCTAGGCCGTGAGGGACAGAAGGCTGGCAGGGCCGACCTTGACTGCACGTGCTTGGTAAGGCGGGGCTGATCCGCACACTATCGATCTAGGATCAATGAGTGTGCAAGTTGTTCGGCCAACGGTAAGACAGTGGATGTACGAGAGGGGCTCGGGGCACGACCCCTCGCATACCTTCGACCCGGAGGCTGGTCTTACACCTTGACTTGTACAGCTAGTTTCATACTTAGGAAAAATCCGGTTATCCCTTTCTGAAAGTCAAACTGAAGTTGGCCAAACGTAAGGGCAAGGCCCTACATGATCATACCAGAACTGACCCGCACCGCTGACCATATCAAACGAGTATGCGGGCTGTTAAGCCTGGCAACGTCAGACATCGGATGTACGAGAGGTGTTCAGAGCACGACCTCCTGCATACCTTCGATCCAAAGACCGGTCATATAGTCGCCGCACTGTTGATTAGGTCAAATGAATATGCGAGCTGTTTAGACAGCAACGTCGGACAACGAATGTACGAAGGGGCTCGGAGCACGACCTCTCGCATACCTTTTCGACCTGGAGGCCGGTCTTACGGTCGCCTTGACCGAGCAACCAATCCTAGACTTAGAAAATAGTTTGATCATTTTCTTGCCCGGGGATCGAGTTGTGGTCGAGTAAACACCGAGAGTGGGGCGTCATAGTTTTTTTTTTTTTGCTTTTTTTTTTTTTGCGTTTTTTTTTGCATTTTTTGCCGCCGCCCGTTCATTTCCAAGTAAGGTCGGACCTCATTAAATTCTAGACTGGAAAACGATTTTTTTTAATATTGAAGGAGAGTTCTACACTTGATCTACTAGCTTGTGGTGCTCCGCTCTTAGGATTTGACAAGGTGCCCTGTGCCCATACTTTGTAGTTTTGATATTGATGGTATAAACCTATATGTGCAATCTCGGGCAGCACGGTTTTCGTCACTATCATCTGGACTTGCGCTATGACGAGGCCGTGCAACCAAGGCTCTCGGCGAAGACGGTACACCCACTTCACTCGAATGAGCTCATGCAACCAAGTCTCTAGGCAATGACTATGTTCCTGTCTCGACGGATTGCGCCTGTGCAACCAAGCCTCTTGGTGGTGACCGAACACTCACGTCGTCGGGTTGAGCTCGTGCAAGGGTACCCAATCCGTCGGTTGTTGCTGAGAGTGCTCATTGTGGACGAAAAACTCGCCCATGGCGTGATGTCTTGTCATCTTCCTCTTTAACTGATCATGCTCATGGTGTACGGGTGCACGACGTACGAGCGCCCTGACGGGCAAGAGTACAATCGTGGTCTCTCATGCACGTCAGTGAGTTGCAGCCGATCACCTGGGCCGTCAAAAGGTATGTGGCATCTTCCCCTTCAATTGATCATGTTCGGCTACTCGGACCCATACAACGAAACCTCTTGGTGGTGGCCGAATGCTCACGTCGCCGGGTTGGGCTTGTACGACCACACATCATGGTGACGACTGTGCGACCGTCTCGCCATGGCGGGCTCGTGCAACCAAACCCCTGAGTCGTGACACTGCGTCCACCTCGTCAGGTGGGGCTCGCGCGGATGATACCCGACCTGACAATTGTCGTTGGACTATGTTAGGCGCGTAGGGGCGCACGGGCGTAGAGCATACATGCATACGCAGTGACAGCTACAACGTGCACAATCTTCACTCGATGCTACATGACTGTGACTTGTCGGCGCCGATGAGTATCCTGTATTGGTGCTACATAGGTCGTCGTTGATGATCACTTCAGTATGAATGCAATGCTGGGTCAGAAAGGATTGAATCGAAGATCAGCTATCTTTGACTTGGAGCTCTAATGATGTGCAGGGCGTACGAGCGTATGAACGTACGGGGCATACGGGCGTACAGGGCGTACGAGCGTACGAGCGTACCAACTCAGGGCATACTAGCAGAGATGGATGCACTGCGACCCTATGACGGAGGTGGCGGTGAGTTGGAAGCTTTCTAGGACAGTTTTGACTTCCTAGGCCAATTTTGACCAGGTCAAAATTCTCCAATCACTGCTTCTTCACGGTGGATAGCCGCTGGAGTCTCCTACTTGGGTTGCCAGTATGTTTCGTCCGTCCTTGTTTTCCCTTATTACCTGCAATGGAACATGGGCGCGAGGGTGCTGCCACGAGAGGGACCACCTCGGTCTGGCACGGTAGTCCTTGCTACGCCTCGCGCGGATTGATGCGAGGGCGGAGCCACCTAGGGTGAACTATGAAACGGTGCTGCGTTGGCGCATGGAGGTGGCCTGGATGGTGATGTTGGACATGGAGGGAGGAACTGCAAGCGTTTCTGCGACGAAGGGTGTCCGGCCACTTGACCACCAGACCAGATTCTTCAATTCCTCCACTGCATCCGGAATTTCAGATTGGAATCACAGGGATAAACAGAATCAATCGTCGGACTGGAGGTGACAAAAGAGCAACTGTAGAAGGGCACGATGCAGTGGGACTCGACCTGCTGCGGAGACCTCCTGGTTGTGACGAGCATAACCTGGGACTGGCGGCGAGGCTTGAAACTGTCTGTCACGCCCCGGACCTCCCCGGACACGTCAACAACCCGCCGTACAATACGAATAGTCAACCGCAGTCCAACACATTCATAGTATACAAGGCGTCTTGAATATCATTCACACACATAACATCCATAAAGAAACATAATAAGTAATTCATAACGCAACGGAAACATTGTTTAAAACAAAAGGGCCACACAGGGCTATTCATGAGCACGCAGGCTCTATAGTAAAATATCCATGAGCATGTTTAATATTGTTCAAAACAGAATGGAGAAGGCACGAACCACGTCTTCTCTCCAAAGGATCACCCGAACAACGGGCACAGGTAGCAAGCTCGAGCCTCAACCTGAAATGGTGGTGGGACGCCCCTGAAGGGGGTCAGTACTCTATACGGCTATAAAGTACTGGTGTGGATGGCATCTAAGGGATATACAACAAGTATTTCAAACACAAGACCCTCAAATAGGATGATAACCCTAAGTTACCCCGTTTGAAAATATACTTACTTTATATAAAAGTCAAGTAGTCGGCCCGTGGGCCCATGTTCAATTTAGAAATCACCATTCCCATTCCCCGTGACTATAAGCCACGACACCTCATAGAGTTCATCACATTTCCATTGCATAGCAAGGGCTCGGCCCAACTACATTTCTATGCAATCCTTTATGTCAAGTACATCCTATCACATTTGCATAGCAAGGGCTCGGCCCAACTACGTTTCTATGCAAACCACAATTTACATGGCAAGGGCTCGGCCCAACTACATTTCCATGCAAATCACAATCACATCCTATCACATTTGCATAGCAAGGGCTCAGCCCAACTACGTTTCTATGCAAATCACAATTTACATGGCAAGGGCTCGGCCCGACTACGTTTCCATGCAAATAACAATTACATGGAAAGGGCTCGTCCCAACTACGTTTCCATGCAATCATAGAGCCTGGCTCTAATTCTTCATTATAGTCCAATTCCTAAGCAAACCTAACGCTAGAATTGACATCTCAATAATCTACCTTGGGTCATTCTTAATGACTTCCCATAACTTACCCTTAGTTTCATACTAAGTCATCTTATACACTTGAAGTACGTTCAAGTGCATCTCATGCAATCCAATACTTAGGATCAATTCTATCAACAATTTCAAATAAGCACTAACTAGTATTTCAATACTATTAAGATTATTGTCATCATAAAACATCCTCATTTTGTAATTCTCTACATATTTATAAGTATGTAGCAGCAAATTAACTATTCAACTTCAATACATAAATATCCATTTATGTATCCACATATTTAATACATGAGTAAAATGCCTATTTCACAAAATAGTTCATTAATAACTCATTTATCTCATATTATCCATACAACCTCAAATCATTTACAAATTCATTCATTGGCAACTATATCCATTTTTCATCAATATTTAGGCATCGTAATCCATGAAAAATCATGATTTAGGCATTTAGGTAATCTCATGCTTAACCTACAAGTTGTAAGCAATTAGATGTCGATCCTCACCTTAATTGAGCTTTAAACTTTTCCTTCTTGATCCAATGGTCAAAGCTTTGGTCAAGGTGGATTAAGAACTGATTCCTTGCTTGAATATGAGTGTTAAATAGCCTCCTCAAAGTGCTAGCTCAACCCCTAAATGTCGATACAAAAACAGCCCCTAGAACGGGTGTTATTCCGGCGAATTCGTTCCCTAACCTTTCAAGGTTTTGTCTAGGTTAGTATCTAACCTTTCCAACAATTAAAGTCACTTTATAATAACATTTTATACACTTCAACCAGTTTATAATAGTTCTTCAATCATTCATATGATTTAGACAATAGAGAGGAAGGTTTTGGATTCAAACTTACTTTGAATACAAAAACGTATTCTGCGAGATTGTGTTTTGTTCGGACGATTTGGAGGCCTTAAACTTCTCCGTTTTCTTCAAACCGCACATCTATGGATCCCTCGTCTTGAGAGATTTCAGTGGACACCTCACACGCCCATTTTGGATGAGTATTTCTCAAGATACGAACCAAACAGTGAGCTCCACGAACTGGAGATTATCCCTGCGGCCAGCTCCCTTATCTCTCTCCCTTTTGATTGTGAGGCTCTCCCTTCTTTCTTATCTCTTTCAGTTCGAATAAGGGGTGAGGGGGAGGTGTTTAGGAGCTCTCAAAATGATATCTAAGCATGTGGTTCACAAAAAGAAAGGGTAGGGTGTTTGATTGCAATCAAACATGGGGTGGACCTCCTCTTTTATTTTCTTTTTGTAATGTTGTAGCTCTTAAGTCAAAATGTCCGCCCCACATAGTTGTCTCACCCATTTCTCTTTGTCTTGCAGGTACCAAGGTCATGTGGGATGGTTCCCAAATGATCCCATTCAATTTGGGGTCCAAAATACCTACCAATACTTCCAAAATGAAAAGATGGACTCTATTGTTTTATCTTTGTCATGAGATGTCTTTTTGTACTCATATAATTTATGTAGGCCAGGTCAACTTCATACATCCCCAAAAATATGTGTAGGATCATCCCAATAATTTACATGATGAATATTATAGAAGAAAAACATACTCCCATTATTTAGCTCAATAATGCCAAAGATGGGACCATAGGCATTTGTATTCTTCTCTAATCATTCTATCACTTATTTTGACATTGTCATAATAAGTGACATTGTCATTCACACCAATTTGTGTGGCTGAACGAAAAAATCGAGTGTTAAAGGAAATGGTTAATTCCATGCTTTCCTACTCGGGTTTGAGTGAAGGGTTTTGGGGAGAGGCCATGCTCACGGCCTGCTATGTTCTAAATAGGACTCCAAACAAACGTAACAAGACAACCCCATATGAGCTTTGGTACAAAAAAGCGCCGAATTTGAAATATTTTCGGGTTTGGGGTTGTAGGGCGGTTGTAAAATTGCCCGAGCCCAAAAGAAAAACTTTGGGGGAAAGGGGAATTGATTGCATATTCATAGGGTATGCTGAAAATTCCAAGGCTTAAAGGTTTTATGTAATAGAACCTAACGATGCAGTAGCGGTTAACACCGTGATTGAGTCTCGGGATGTGATCTTTGATGAGATGAGATTTTCATCAATTAAAAGACCAAAGGACCTAGTTCCAGGCACTAGTGAGGTGCAAGTTGTAGAATGCTTGGAAGGTGTTTTGAATCCCGAACCACCACAAATCAGGAAAAGCAAACAAGGTCGCATCGTGAAAGACTTTGGTCCCGATTTTCACTTGTATTTAGTGGAAGGTTCAAGGGATGAAGTAGGGGTACAATATTCATATTGTTATCAAGTTGAGGATGATCCAAAGACCTTTAAAGAGGCAATGGAGTCCCGAGATGTTGCCTTTTGGAAGGAGGCAATTAATGATGAAATGTCATCAATTATGGAGAACAACACTTGGGTGTTGTCGGATTTGCCACCGGGTTCTAAAACCTTAGGTTGCAAATGGATCTTCAAAAGGAGGATGAAAGTGGATGGAACTGTTGACAGGTTCAAGGCTCAGTTAGTCATTCAAGGTTTTAGACGAAAACACGGAATTGATTATTTTGACACGTATGCGCCGGTTTCTCGAATTACAGCCATTAGGTTGTTAATTGCTTTGGAGGCTATACACAATCTGATTATACTACATCAGATGGATGTCAAGACGGCATTTTTAGATGGTGATCTTGATGCCTCGATATTAGAAGGATATTCAGATGCAAGTTGGATATCCAATGTAGAGGATCATTCTTCTACAAGTGGTTGGGTATTCTTGCTTGGGGGAGGTGCCATATTTTGGGCTTCCAAGAAGCAAACTTGTATCACAAGTTCAACAATGGAATCTGAGTTTGCGTTGGCTACCGGCGGTAAAGAGGCGGAGTGGTTAAGAAATTTAATTCTTGAGATTCCATTGTGGAAGAAACCGATTACACCTATTTCTATCCATTGTGATAGTGCTGTCACTTTGGCTAAGGCACATAGTCATATTTATAATGGCAAGTCTAGACACTTGGGTGTTAGACATAGTATGATTAGGGAACTAATCATGAATGGTGTAATTTCAATGGAATTTGTAAGATCGCAACATAACGTGGCGGACCACTTGACCAAAAGTTTGGCCCGAGACTTAGTGCACAAGTCTGTTATAGGGATGGGTTTAAAGTCCATTTAATACTTAATGGTGAGACACCCAATTCCCCTCTAATACAACATTAGAGGCTAAATTCAATGCGGAAAGCTCACACTTAATGGATTGGAACACACAATGAAAATCATCCCAAAGTGTGTGTTCGGACCTGTAGTAGGGAGGCTGAATTTATTTCTTAATAATTCATTTGATAAAATGTAAGCAGGTACATGAATAAAGGAATTGCCTATGTGATCGTGAAGTCTAGCTGCACTTCAAAAAGCTTGGGACTTGGCTTTTATACGGTCATGAATGGGATTAGGACACGCGGCTTTATAATTGTGTCAAGTTTGTATTCTAGTTGAGTATAGAAACATGTATGTATTTTATCTTGAGGTATTGAAATGGGTTGAAGGGTTCAATCCGTAGGACACCCTGATTCTCGAATATTTTGAATGTGTAAAATACTAAGATGGAAATTCAATCGTAACGACATTTCCATTTATGTGCAAGTTTTGGTTTGTAAGTTTTGTTATGTCATTTCATGGGTTACACTAAAATGGGGGAGGATTGTTGGTGATTTTAGTGTCACCGGCCGTTTTGTATAATTAGAAATGACATGAGTGCCAATCGGGATTAGAACTATGATCTAATACAAGTTAGTAGGTGTGAAGTGCACACTTGTATATAAGAACTAGTTTAATTCCAAAGTGTCTACGTTAGTGGAACTTGAGGTAGAACTCGAGGTATAACTTTCAGTAGACCAGCTCTGTGGTTCTAGACCGAGTTCTAGAACGGTTGGGCAGTTTACAATAGTTTCCCAAAAACTGCTGCGGTTTCTCAAACGTGTTGCAACTGCCTAGGACGCTTGATATGGATATATATCACCATATTTCGGACAGAGGAGGTAGAGGAATAACATCCAACGAATCTTCATCACTTTCGCACTCAAATTAAAGCAAAAACAATCCATATACTCACTAGTTTGTCTCTAGTTCTTGTGCCTAAGTTCTAGAGTGTTCTTAATGATTATACTAGCTTGAATTTCTTGTAACCCAGGCATAGGGGAGAAATATCAATTTGGAAAGTGAACTTACATGATCCTTAAGCAATCCAAGTACTCAATTATCACCTCCTACGTGATGCCCCAACAGGATGGATATGAATGAAGCCTCCTACTCGTATTTATACTACTCCACCTCCCCACAATGAATGGTGACAATAGTTCTCTGGAATTTTCTATACATTTTCTCATACTCTAGAGAACTCTAAGAAATATCTACACCTCTCCATTCTCTTACATTTCCTTCCATATTCTTTCATAAGGTTTTTGAAGGTTCCACACATCTCCAAACTATTCTAGGGGTTTCACACTATTCTTCCATATTTTGTTTTTCAATAATCTCTCTAATATCTCCATCTCACAATGATTAGCATTCAAATAAACTAATGAATGAGGATGCTCTGAGCTGAGTAATAAATATCACTATAGATCCTTCGAGTATCTTTTTTAGCATGGTTGTAGAATTGGTTCAAAATAGAACATGATCTAAAGAGGTAAATGAAAATAATTCTAAAGCGTTGAGTTTGGTTGTCGTGCATTAATTATTTAATGTAAAAATGTGCACTATCATGAATTGAAAAAATGTGCATTCAATTGAGCATAAGTTTAATCATAAATGTGAACATTTGAACGTTGCATTACTTTAACTCTTGGTTTAAAAAAGCAAGGCGCAAGGTGCTCTAAGGCGATATGTTTATCACATCTCATAATACTAGGCGTGGTAGATTCCAAGAGGCGCGCCTTCAACAATGCCTTTTGCCGCCTTTCACGCGTCTGATAGGCGGCCGCTTCTCACACCTCATGGAATTTTGGTGATTCAAGTTCTAAGTCTGTAGGCGATTCTTCCTCACTCCATCAAACTCCAAGTCTCTCATTAGTCTTCTCCCTTGTGCCTAGGGTGTTGCTTTGCTTCCGAGTCCCGCCTTCTTCTTTCTTCATCTGTCTCGATCGCAGGTACATATTTTTTGTTATGTTCTACTACCTCCGTCCCGGAAACAAGTTCCCGATTTGACTTTCACACATTTTAAGTAAATAAAGTTACTGAGAGGTAAATTTTACTGTTTTGACACTATTTCGACACTGTTTGACACTGTTTTGCACTGTTTGACACTGTTTTGTATTTTTTTTATAGATAATTTGTCAAATAAGGAAATGAGAACTTTATTTTGGGACATCCAAATAAGGAAAGTGGAAACTTGTTTTCGGAACGGAGGGAGTATCTTATTTTTTAAAAGTTATAAAATAATTTAAATTATTGAAATAAGTAACCAATAACTATGTACTATCGTTTTATTTTATACTTTATTATAGCACACTTATATGTCATAATTATTATAATGTTATTATTGAAAGTTGATTATATGTACGAGTAATACACTAAAAATTACAATTACCTATTTTATACATATGTAATACGACAATAGCAGTTCTATTTTGGAATTTCAAAATCAATTTACTCATATTTTGAGAATGCTATCAAAAAATTACCAAAACGCTCTAATATACGAAGTACAACACCCGGTTGGTGGTGACTCTCCATCATCATAACCAGCAAAGTATGTGCTCTATTTGATTCATACGTCACGATTATGAAAAAGGAGATACATTCAGTCTTACCGATTGTTAACTATGAGGTGATGGGTGAAGATGTTAGTTGGATTGTTATTCTCTTGATACAAATCATTGACAAAGTGTTATTACATCATTTACATGTTTACAAGATGTTATCTTTCTTGGTATACGATTAAAATTCTTTTTTTTTTACACGATGGTGTAATGTTAGACAAAGGGGTGTTTGGAACTGATTCTGCTTCTGCTTCTTTTTTAAAAGCAGAAGCAGAATCAGAATCAATTTTCAGAAGCTGGTACCTCCCATCTTCTAAAAAAACTGATTCTGAGAGTAAATTATAGCTCCAGAAGTGCTTCTGAAATTTCACCCAAACACTACAGCTTCTGCTTCTGCT